AGTCTTCTTTCTGCTGAAATAGCTGTGTCTGGAACACATCTTGTTAGACTTTTTTTTTGGCTCCCAAATCTAGTCTAGAAAACTTGAGGTTGATGGCTAATGATGTGTTGCATGATTCGATGAAGGTGCAGTTTTTGACATGGAAGTAATGTCAAAAAATGAACAAAGTCATACACATTGTTCATTTCTGAGGATGTATACATTCAACAAGCAAAAGATCTATAGCATGCATCTATAATATGTTTAACAACAAAACATGGAGCAAACATGAATTATCCATGGACTATGGCAGATGTTGGGCTTCCCAGATGGTTCAGTGGTAAAGAATCCACCTGCCAGTGTGGAGATGCAGGAGATGTGGGTTCCATCCCTGGGTAGGGAAGACCCCCTGGAGGAGGAAATGGCAACCCACTCCAGTATTCTTGCCAGGGAAATCCCATTTACAGAGAAGCCTGGAGTGCCGCAGTCCACGGGGCTGCAGAGAGTCAGACGTGACTGAGCGACTGAGCACACAGGCATGGGGAATGTTAAATATTCATCTTCTCTCTTTCTTATTGCTTAGTTATTATTACTTTTTAAATTTGCAAGCAGGAAAACAAGAAAAATGTCTGGTTCTGGATCCTGCTTGGATCATGTGGATGCCCTGCCCTCTGTTCGTTCTTCTGACCTGATTCATCCCAGGGCCGGATGGAAATCCAGAGGGCAGAGCCCACCAAGGGACAACTGGGGAGGGATGTAGGAAGAGAGCAAGAGCTCCTGAGGGTTCCTCCTTGGCTTCCCAGGCTGCTGTCCAATTCCTAGATTCAAATGGATAGAGAGGTTGCCTGTGGCCCGGAATCTGCTTGGGCAAAAGAGAAGGAGCTGGGAAGAGAGTTAGTAGAAATATGTGCTAAGAGGAAAAAAAATAGTTCATTCATTTTGATTCAATCAGAACAGAAACAATGGCTGTCTCTCCATCCATAAGTTCCTGATCTCTTCTGCAGCCCTCTCCCTGGCAAGCTCAGATTCTGGTCCTCCCAGAATGGTTGCTCCATCTCTGCCTCCAGCCTCAAGGATGTTCATGGACAGGGAGACTCTCCCTGCTCTCTCCACAATGAGAGGCATCACTCCACATAAGGGATGATAAAGAGAAAGCTGGGTTTTGAAGACAACACTGGGGAGACAGAGATAAAATGGGAACAGAGAATTGGATCTCTGCTTCTGGAAACTCTGGCCTGTCTTTCCATCATTGGGGCTCCACTTTGTGTCTCCTGACACTGCTCTCTACCTCCATCTTCATTCTTGAAATACAGTCCATCCCCCATTTTTTTAATTGTTTTCTTTGCAGACTCCATATCTGCCAATTTGCCAAACTCATGTCCATTGAGTCAGTGATACCATCCAACTATCTCATCCTCAGTCACACCCTTCTCCTCTTGCCCTCAATCTTTTCCAGCATCAGGTTGTTTTCCAATGAGTCAGCTCTTCACATCATGTGGTCAAAATATTGGAGCTTGAGCATAAGTCCTTCCAATGAATATTCAGGGTTGATTTCCTTTAAGATTGACTGGTTTGATCTCCTTGTTGTCCAAAGGACTCTCAAGAGTCTTCTCTAGCAGCACAGTTCAAAAGCATCAATTCTTTAGTGCTCAGCCTTCTTTATGTCCAACTCTCACACCCATACATGACTACTGGAAAAACCATAGCTTTGACTACATGGACCTTTATCACCAAAGTGGTGTCTCTGCTTTCTAATTTTGTCATAGTTTTTCTTCAAAGGAGCAAATGTCTTTTAATTTCATGGCTGCAGTCACCATCCACAGTGATTTTGGAGCCCAAGAAAATGAAATCTGTCAGTGAAGCACTTTAGTTCCTCTTTGCTTTCTGCCATTACAGTGGTGTCATCTGCATATCTGCGGTTATTGATATTTCTCCTGGCAATCTTGATTTCAGCTTATGCTTCATCCAGCCCAGCATTTCACATAATGTACTCTGCATAGAAGTTAAATAAGCAGGTTGACAATATACAGCCTTGATGTACTCTTTTCCCAATTAGGAACCAGTCCATTGTTCCATGTCTGGTTGTAACTGTTGCTTCTTGACCTGCACACAGGCTTCTCAAGAGGCAGGTAAGGTGGTCTAGTAGTGCCATCTCCTTAAGAATTTTCCACAGTTTGTTGTGAGCCACACAGTCAAAGGCTTTAGCATAGCCAGTGAAGGAGATTCCCTTGGTGCCCTTGACTCTCAGGCTCCTGGAAATCAGCACCATGGACAGGGGTGAGGAGGCCCCACCCCCCCCCCTTCACTCTGCCCTGCACAATGTGGGGTTGATTCCCTTGGTACCTTTGACTCTCAGTTCAGTTCAGTCCAGTCACTCAGTCGTGTCCGACTCTTTGTGACCCCATGAACCACAGCATGCCAGGCCTTGCTGCCCATCACCAATTCCCAGAGTCTACACAAACTCATGTCCATTGAGTCAGTGATGCCATCCAACCATCTCATCCTCTGTCATCCCCTTCTCCACTTGCCCTCAATCTTTCCAAGCATCAGGATCTTTTCTAATGAGTCAACTCTGCATGAGGTGGCCAAAGTATTGGAGTTTCAGCTTCAGCATCAGTCCTACCAATGAACACCCAGGACTGATCTCCTTCAGGATGGATTGGTTGGATCTCCTTGCAGTCCAAGGGACTCTCAAGGGTCTTCTCCAACACCACAGTTCAAAAGCATCAATTCTTCGGCACTCAGCCTTCTTCACAGTCCAACTCTCACATCCATACGTGACCACTGGAAAAACAATAGACTTGACTAGACGGACCTTTGTTGGCAAAGTAATGTCTCTGCTTTTTATTATGCTATTTAGATTGGTCATAACTTTCCTTCCAAGGAGTAAGCATCTTTTAATTTCATGGATGCAGTCACCATCTGCAGTGATTTTGGAGCCTGCAGAAATAAAGTCAGCCACTGTTTCCCCATCTGTTTGCCATGAAGTGATTGGACCAGATGCCATGATCTTAGTTTTCTGAATGTTGAACTTTAAGCCAACTTTTTCAGTAGGTGCTAAGAGAGGGCATCAGAGGACAGACAGACTGAAACCGGAATCACAGACAACTAGCCAATCTGATCACATGGACCACAGCCTTGTCTAACTCAATGAAATTAAGCCATGCTGTGTAGGGCCACCCAATATGACTGGGTCATGGTGGAGAGTTCTGACAAAACGTGGTCCACTGGAGAAAGGAATGGCAAACCACTTCAGTATTCTTGCCTTGAGAACCCCATGAGCAGTGTGAAAAGGCAAAATGATAGGATACTGAAAGAGGAACTCCCCAGGTCTGTAGGTGCCCAATATGCTACTGGAGATCAGTGGAGAAGTAACTCCAGAAAGAATGAAGGGATGGAGCCAAAGCAAAAACAACACCCAGTTGTGGGTGTGACTGGTGATAGAAGCAAGGTCCAATGCTGTAAAGAGCAATATTGATAAGAACTTGAAAAGTTAGGTCCATGAATCAAGGCAAATTGAAAGTGGTCAAACAGGAGGTGGCAAGAGTGAATGTTGACATTCTAGTAATCTTCAAACTAAAATGGACTGGAATGGGTGAATTTAACTCAGATGACCATTACATCTACTACTGTGGGCAGGAATCCCTTAAAAGAAATGGAGTGGCCATCATAGTCAACAAGAGTCCAAAATGCAGTACTTGGATGCAGTCTCAAAAATGACAGAATGATCTCTGTTCACTTCCAAGGAAAACCATTCAATATCACAGTAATCCAAGTCTATGCCCTGACCAGTAATGCTAAAGAAGCTGAAGTTGAATGGTTCTATAAAGACCTACAAGACCTTCTAGAACTAACACCCAAAAGATGTGTCCTTTTCATTATAGGGGACTGGAATGCAAAAGTAGGAATTCAAGAAACACCTGGAGTAACAGGCAAATTTGGCCTTGGAGTACGGAATGAAGCAGGGCAAAGGCTAATAGAGATTTGCCAAGAGAATGCACTGGTCATAGCAAACACCCTCTTCCAACAACACAAGAGAAGACTCTATACATGGACATCACCAGATGGTCAACACTGAAATCAGATTGGTTATATTCTTTGCAGTCAAAGATGGAGAGGCTCTATACAGTCAGCAAAAACAAGACTGGGAGCTGACTGTGGCTCAGATCATGAACTCCTTGACTCTCAAACTCCCAGGAATCAGCCCCACGGACAGAGGCCACCTTCACTCTGCCCTGCACTCCGTGGGGCTGGTTCCCTTGGCGCCCTTGACGCGCAGGCTCCCGGGAATCAGCACCACGGACAGAGGCGGGGAGGCCGCCTCCTCTCTCCTCAGCTGGTGGCTTCCCCTTAACACACAGCTCTTCTCACTCTGAGCAGCCAGTATACTGGGACCAGTGAGCTCAGTTATACTTGGGACCTGAAGCCCCCTCCCTTCATCCCCACCCCACCCTTGACCCTGTGGGAAGCAACCTGTAAAGGTTTAGTGAGGAAGGGGGACAGGAGGTCGCCCAGGGCCCGGGAGACTTCATCTCCTCTAGGCTAGGAGGCCTCGGTTACTCAGCGGATATGGAGCTCACGCATGTGGGTGGGGTCTGCAGGCCCCAGCTGCTCCCTGGAACAAGGACAGGAGGAGGATGTGGGGTGTGTCTGGGTCTTCATGGTACTTTTAGCTCCATGTCGTCCCTCAAAGCCCAGAGCGTTCCACTCTTCAGTCCCCTCTCTGCACACCTAGCACTGCCTGGACCCTGGGGAGGGGGTACGTGGAGTAGACGGAGAGGCACCCCTTGTATTATCCATCTCTCCGTGAGGTGGGGTCACCTGTGGCTGACGTCCCCATGTCTCCCTTCTTCCCATGCAGCCCAGAGCTGCCCAGGGACAGGACTGAGCTGTGGGTCTGACTCCTCAGTGGGTATGGGCAGGGGGCTCCTCATCCGAGACCAGGAGCTCCAGGGGGTCACTGGGGAGAGACAGCAGGTGGGGGGCGGTGCTCTGTGAGCTGTAGCACCTGTAGGTCCCACCGTGGGCCGAGGTCACAGCACTCAGGGTGAAGTTGGCCTGAATGGGTGGAGCCGTGTCCTGCAGACACAGGTGCTGGGAAGGAGCGGGCGACCCCTCCTTGGACAAATGGAAGGTGTTTGAGTGGACCTCAGAGTGACACTGCAGGGTCATGTTCTCTCCCCAGGGCACTGAGGCTCCCTGGGCGGGCGGAGAGGGAGGGTTTCCTGTGCATTCCTGGGGGAGGATGGAGGTGATGAGCAGAGCAGGCCTTCCCCACACTCCAGACCCTGAGCTGAGGGGCCTCCCTGTGAGCCCTCCCAGCTCCTCTCAGCCCGTCTGTGTGGGTCTGTTTTTTTGTCTTTGATTGTTTTTCATGTTAGTTTTGGTGGCATAGTGCTGCATATGGGATGTTAGCTCCTTGACCAGAGATTGAACCTGTGCCCCTGCAGTGGACATGCAGAGTCTCAACCACTGGACAGCCAGGGAAGTCCCATGTCTTGGCCTCCTTAATCTTCATGCCTCTCACTCCTGTTTTCACATTCCCCCACCCCAGACCCCTGCTCCACCTGGGCCTCTGCTCCAGGACCCTCTCCCTGGACCCAGAACCACCAGGGCCGACCCTGGTCCAGTGCTCTGAGCAGACAGTCAAGACCTGGGCCAGAACAGGGGCTCCTCACCCGCAATCAGGATGTCCAGGGGGGCGCTGGGGGCCGACCACACATAGGAGAGGTTGTGCCCACTGTAGCATCTGTACCGGCCCCCGTGGGTGCTGGAGAAGGAAATGGCAACCCTCTCCGGTATTCTTGCCTGGACAATTCCATGAACAGGAGAGCCTGGTCAACTACAGTCCATGGGGTCGCAGAGTCAGATGTGGGTGAGTGACTAACACCTTTACCTAACACTTTCCATGGGTGCTCTTTGCATGGCCCACAGGAAGTTGGGGCTCAGCCACCCTCCTAGACGGAGGGGAGAGGTGAGCCCCTCATCCTTTGTCGGAGCGAATCTGCCAAAGCCAGCCTCTGAGCAACACCAGAGGGTCAGGTTGTCTCTGGGGAGCACAAGCAAGCCAGACTTGGGGGAGAGGGAGGGCGCCCTGTACACTGCTTGGCGGAGGGGCTGTGTTAAAGGGGGGCCTCCAGCCCACTGACCCTGGCTGTGGGTTGGGAGAGGAGGGGTCCACCTGAGCCCACACTCTGCTCTTCTGCCCATGAGGAGGCGCCCACTGTGGGAGACCCGGCCCTCCCTCTTACCTGTCAGCACCAGGTCACTCTGCTCTGACCGGCTGTTCCTGCTGCGACATGCTCAACCTCCTGGGCTGATGGAGAAGCTGGCCTTGTTACTGGAGTCCTGTGGGGGCCGAGTTACCAGGTGGCTGGTTGGGTGGAAGCAGGAAGTCTGGCAGGGACTCACCTGATTGTACCTGGTCCCACTGGTCCCAACACAGTCCTGGAAGAGAGTTTCCTGTTAGCACCATCCTCCACCACACATTGTAGGTGCTGCAGGTCTGGTGTGGGCCCGTGCATGCTGGAGTCAGATCCGGGGCTGAGTGCATTCCCCCTTCCTCTGGAACGTCTGTCCCTTTAAGACTTCTGTGGCCTGGGGTCTCGCAGGACCCAGGCTTGGGAGGACAGTGAGGGTCTGTGTTGTGGCACTGTCTCAGTTCAGTCATTCAGTCGCTGAGTTGTGTCCAACTCTTTGCGACCCCATGGACTGCAGCACGCCAGGCCTCCCTGTCCATCACCAACCCATGGAGTTTACTCAAACTCATGTCCATTGAGTCGGTGATGCCATCCAACCATCTCATCCTGTCATCCCCTTCTCCTCCTGCCCTCAATCTCTCCCAACATCAGGCTCTTTTCCAATAAGTCAGTTCTTCGCATCAGATGACCAAAGTATTGGAGTTTCAGCTTCAACATCAGTCCTTCCAATGAACACCCAGGACTCATCTCCAGGATGGACTGGTTGGATCTCCTTGCAGTCCAAGGGACTCTCAAGAGTCTTCTCCAACACCACAGTTCAAAAGCATCAATTCTTTGGCACTCAGCTTTCTTTATAGTCCAACACTCACATCCATGCATGACTACTGGAAAAACCATAGCCTTGATTAGATGGACCTTTGTTGGCAAAGTAATGTCTCTGCTTTTTAATATACTGTCTAGGTTGGTCATAACTTTCCTTCCAAAGAGTAAGCGTCTTTTAATTTCATGGCTGCAGTCACCATCTGCAGTGATTTTGGAGCCCAGAAAAATAAAGTCAGCCCCTGTTTCCACTGTTTCCCCATCTATTTCCCATGAAGTGATGGGACTGGATGCCAAGATCTTAGTTTTCTGAATGTTGAGGTTTAAGCCAACTTTTTCACTCTCTTTCACTTTCATCAAGAGGCTCTTTAGTTCTTCACTTTCTGCCATAAAGGTGGTGTCATCTGCATATCTGACTTTATTGATGTTTCTCCTGGCAATCTTGATTCCAGCTTGTGCTTCTTCTAGCCCAGCATTTCTCGTGATGTACTCTGTGTATAAGTTAAATAATCAGGGTGACAATATACAGCCTTGATGTACTCCTTTGCCTATTTGGAACCAGTCTGTTGTTCCATGTCCAGTTCTAACTGTTGCTTCCTGACCTGCATACAGATTTCTCAAGAGGCAGGTCGGGTGGTCTGGCATTCCCATCTCTTTCAGAATTTTCCACAGTTTATTGTGATCTACACAGTCAAAGGCTTTGGTGTACTCAATAAAGCATAAATGGATGTTTTTATGGAACGCTCTTGCTTTTTTGATGATCCAGCAGATGTTGCCAATTTAATCCCTGGTTCCTCTGCCCTTTCTAAATCCAGCTTGAACTTCTGGAAGTTCATGGTTCATGTATTGCTGAAGCCTGGCTTGAAGAATTTTGAGCATTACTTTACTAACGTGTGAGATGAGTGCAATTGTGCGGTAGTTTGAGCATTCTTTGGCATTGCATTTCTTTGGGGTTGGAATGAAAACTGACCTTTTCCAGTCCTGTGGCCACTGCTGAGTTTTCCAGATTTGCTGGCATACTGAGTGCAGCGCTTTCACAGCATCATCTTTCAGGACTACAAATAACTCAACTGAAGTTCCATCACCTCCACTAGCTTTGTTTGTAGTGATGCTTCCTAAGGCCCACTTGACTTCACATTCCAGGATGTCTGGCTCTAGGTGAGTGATCACACTATCGTGATTATCTGGGTCATGAAGATCTCTCTTGTACAGTTCTTCTGTGTATTCTTGACACCTCTTCTTAACACCTTCTGCTTCTGTTAGGTCCATATCACTTCTGTCCTTTATTGAGCCCATCTTTGCATGAAATATTCCCTTGGTAGCTCTAATTTTCTTGAGGAGATCTCTAGTCTTTCACATTCTATTATTTTCCTCTATTTCTTTGCACTGATCACTGAAGAAGGCTTTCTTCTCTCTCCTTGCTATTCTTTGGAACTCTGCATTCAAATGGAAATATCTTTCCTTTTCTCCTTTGCTTTTGCTCCTGTTCTTTTCACAGCTACTTGTAAGTCCTCCTCAGACAACCATTTTGCTTTTTTGCATTTCTTTTTCTGGAGGATGGTCTTGATCCCTGCCTCCTGTACAATGTCATGGATCTCTGTCCATAGTTCTTCTGGCACTCTATCAGGTCTAATCCCTTTAATCTATTTGTCACTTCCACTGTATAATTGTAAGGGAGTTGATTTATGTCATACCTGAATGGTCTAGTGGTTTTCCCTACTTTATTCTATTTGAGTCTGAATTTGGCAATAAGAGTTCATGATCTTAGCCACAGTCAGCTCCTAGTCTTGTTTTTGCTGACTGTATAGAGCTTCTACATCTTTGGCTGCAAAGAATATAATCAATCTGATTTTGGTTTTGGCCATCTGGTGATGTCCATGTGTAGAATCTTCTCTTGTGTTGTTGGAAGAGGGTGTTTGCTATGACCAGTGCGTTCTCTTGGCAAAACTCTATTACCCTTTGCCCTGCTTCATTCCGTACTCCAAGGCCAAATTTGCCTGTTACTCCAGGTGTTTCTTGACTTCCTACTTTTACATTCCAGGCCCCTATAATGAAAAGGGAATCTTTTTTGGGGTGTTAGTTTTAAATGGTCTTGCAGGTCTTCATAGAACTGTTCAACTTCAGCTTCTTCAGCATTACTGGTCGGGGCATAGACTTGGATTACTGTGATATTGAATGATTTGCCCCAGTCTTTAGATGACTTAAAAAGCCCACAGGCCTAGAAGGTCAGACAGACACATGGGGTGTGTGACAAGGTCCAGCCTCTGTGTTACATGTTGCAAGTTCCTCATAGGTGGCCTCAGAGGAAGAAAAACAGCCTCAGCCCCACTCAGGACCCGAATCCACCCTCCCTGCAGGATGGGGCCCAGCAGACAGCAGGCTCTGGAACTTTCCAGACCATATGTGAGTCTCACTAGACCCCACACACTCTGCCTACACTTTGTGCCAAATCCAAACCAAGAGAGTGACAGGAGGCTGAGATGCAGGGCAGGGCCTAGGAGCAGCCCTAATTTGGTTCAAATTGTTTCATCTTCTTTATTTCTTTTTTTGCTGTAAAAAGCTTTATTGTTTCCATTTGGTCCAAAGCTTGGGAGAGGGCTCCAGGGTGATCCACAAGCTAGCTGCCTCATGGCTGCAGAGAGGCTTCAGGAAGAACCCGTGACACCAGAGGGTCTCCTCAAAGACCACTGGGATGAGATGGGAAGTGCCCAGTTTTCCAGTACCACTTACTGAAAATATTGTTTTGTCTCTATTGGATATCCTTGCCTCCTTTGTTGAAGATTTTCTTGACCACGGGTGTGTGGATTTATTTCTAGACTCATTGTTTTGTCCCAGCGACATGTCTGTTTTTGTGCCAGTACCATGCTGTTTTGATTACTGTAGCTTTGTTGTATGGTCTCAAGTCCAGGAGGGTTATGTCTCCTGCTTTTTCCTCAGCATTGCTTTGGCAGTTTTGAGTCTTTTGTTGTTCCATATAAGTTTGAGCATTATTTGTTCTAGTTCTGTTTTTTAAAATGCCATGGGTAACTGGATAGAGATTGCATTATATCTATAGATTACTTTGGGTTATATGGCCATTTTAACTACATTAATTCTTCTAATTCAAGACTAAGGGATGTCTTTACATTTCTTTGAATCATCTTCAGTTTCCTTTATTAATGGTTTATAGTTCTCAATGTATAAGTCTTTCACCTCCTTTGTCAGATTTATTCTTACCTATTTTATTATTTTTTATGCAATTTTTAAAGGGGTTGATTTTTTTACTTCCTCTTTCTGATATTTCATTGCTAATGTAAAGAAATGCAACATATTTCTGTATGTTAGTCTTGTATCCTAATACCTCTTTGAATTCATTTATGAGTTCTAATATTTTTGTTTGGAGTCTTCAGGGTTTTCATGATATATAGAGTATCATGTCATCTGCATATAATGATATATAAGTCCAAGCCATAGCAATTAGATAAGAAAAAGAAATAAAAGATATCCAAATTGGGAAGAGACTTCCAATGCTATGTTGAATAAAAGTGGTGGTCATCCTTGACTTGTTCCAGGATGTAGTGGGAATATTTTTAGCTTTTCACCTTTGAGTATTACATTGGTTGTGAGTTTGCCATAAATAATTTTTCCCTCTATACCTGCTTTGGAAAGAGTTTTTATCATTAATAAATGTTGAATCTTATCAACTGCTTTTTCTGCATCTGTTGAGACGATCATGTGGTTTTTGTCTTTTGTTGTTGTGGTATATCACATTGATTTGTGTATGTTAAACCACTCTTGTGACCCTGCAATGAATCAAACTTGATCACGGTGTATGATCCTTTTAATGTGTTATTGGATTCAGTTTGCTAATATTTTGTTAAGGGTTTTTACATCTATATGCATCAATGATAGAAGTGAAGTGAAAGTTACTCAGTCGTGTCCAACTCTTTGCAATCCCATGGACTATATAGTCCATGGAATTCTCCAGGCCAGAATACTGGAGTGGGTAGCCTTGGCCTATAATTTCTTTTTTTGTCTTAGCTTTTTCTGGTTTTGGTTTCAAGGTGACAGTGACTTCATAGAATGACTTTGGAGGCTGTTTCCTCCTCTTCAACTTCTGGAAGAGTTTAAGAAGTATCAGTATAAATTCTTCTTTGTTTGGTAGAATTCCTCTATGAAGCTATCCAGTTCTGGACTTTTGTTTGCAAGAAGTTTTTATTTTTAATATGATAGATTCTATTTAACTTCTAGTGACCAGCCTTTTCATGTTACCCATGTCTTCTTGATTGAGTTTTGGCAGGCTGTATGTCTCTAGAGACTTGTCCACTTCTTCCAGGTTGTCCAATTTGTTTCTCTTCGTATTCTCTTATGACTTTTTGTATTTCTGTGGTATCAGCTGTTGTTTCTCTTCTCTCATTTCTTCCTTTGTTTATTTGGGTCTCTTGTTGTCACCTTTTGAATTTGATGTGATGGAATATGCTCCTATAGTTTTATTTCACTTATTCACCATCATGCTTGAAAATTGAACTGTGTTGCTGTAGCAGTTTAACTTTGTGAATTTTTCTGTCATGTGAAACTTTGTCATATATGTATATATACATACATATATATATACATACATATAATGATTCATTTTTCATGGGACTGATTTCTATAATTTTTTTCTAATGTGAGCAACCCATCTGTCTCTCCATATGCTCTTGCTTGTACACTCGTGGTTATGCACACATTTTCCTCTAGGTTATATAACTGTGGACCAGAGCTGGGCCTCTTCCTTTCAACTGATAATTGTTACTGACTCTCCAAATTGACTGGAGTAGTTAGTACACCTCCTGGTGATGAGCCAGGATTCAGCAGACTCAGAATTTTCTCCTACAATTGTTTCCTCTTCCCTCACTTTATCTTTCCCTCTCCAATAGATGAACTAGGATATTTTGGCGTCTGGTTTCATGGAAGCTGGGGCAAAAACTAGAGTGGAAATGATCTGACCATGATGTTTAATATGAAGGACACATCTGTACACGTGGGGGTCATCAGTGAGGGACCGGCTGGATCAGACTCAGCTTCTTTGAGAAAGTCAGTCTGCTCCTTACTTCCCAGGCTGCCTTCAGCACATTCACCTGAGCACCTTGAGGTTGGCCACGAAGAGAGTATTTATACTGAAGAAACAGACAAAAACCACAATCCGGGCTTTTTACAAAATGGATATATTGCTAACACCGTTTAGCAGCGCAACACCTGACTGTCTCTTCAAACGACAAGGTGTTCATTCACATTGACGGCATCCGGAGAAACGACACCGGGTGTCATCTGACGAGGAGAGCAGGACGTCAGGGGTCCAGGGGGTTCAGGGAAGAGTTCTGGATCCATCTGTTCCAAACGGGGCCCCACTTTCACCCATTTATTCAGTTACTTAAATGACGTTCTGTTTCTGAGAAGGGATGGAGGTCATTGCGCACAGCAGAGACGGCGGGCCTGAACAATGAGGCTCACGCCCTCCAGGAGAGCGGACAGAGCCTGCGGGCCTGCAGGGTGAGGACCCGCCCCTGCCACTGGGATGCACCTTGGGCCGGGGGTGAAGTAGCCGGGAGTCGGGGCGTCCTCCCCGGGAGGGAGGGGCCCCGTGAGCGGAGGCCAAGCCCCGGGGACACCCGGGCCTCCTCCAGCTCCGCGGCACGTCTCTCATCCGGGGTCTCCGCAGACAGGTCTCCGCAGACAGCGCACCCAGGAAGCACGGCAGAGGCTCTTTCCGAAGCTCCCTGGCCGGAAGCTCGCGTCCCGGGCTGCGGCGCTCCAGACAGTGCAGGGGGCCTCCCGTGCTCAGTTCCAGGCCGTGTCTTGGGATCGTTCGCGGTCGTGCCGAGCCTGGTAGAGCAGGACCCCGAGGAGCACCAGAACCGAGCCCGCGAAGCCCATCCGGATGAGATTCTGCACCGTGTAGTCTGGGGTAAGGGCGCACAGGTCAGAACTGGCCTGTCACCAGGAACTGGGGTGTGCGCCCAGGGCACCCGCCTCCCGGGAGAGGACGTGGCCCCGAGCCCAGCCCTGTAACAGACTTTGTCTTACTCACCACTCTTGGGGTCTGGCTTGTTTTGGGGTGGGCTGATGCTGTCAGCTGCTCCTGAGAAGCATAAAGTGAGTGGTGTGGGTGAGGAGTTGGGGAGATCCTTCTCTTGGTTCTGTCTTTCCCGGTGGAGCCCCCATCGCCATGCACGCTCATGTTGACTGTCTCAGGCATTTCTGAGGACAGGACTCTGAGCTCAGACAGGACAGTGTCCAGCCCCTCACCTGAGACCACAAGCTCTAGGGGGTCACTAGGGTGTGACGGCTCTGGCCACCATGGACCCACCACCCCCTCCCTCACTGACCTCTCTGGGGGCCTCCCTCCTGGGAGAAAGTAGCTGATCCTCAGAGTTCCCAGGGGTCAGGACAGGGGCTGCCCTCCCCCAGCTGGGCCCCAGCATCTCCCTCTGCATGACCCCCACCCGTCATCCACATCTCAGCCCTGGGAGCCCCGCGGTCCCCTGGGACACCAGCTGAGCCAGGGCCTGTCCGCTCGCTCCCTTGCAGGCCGCGGGCTCTGCTAGCTGCTCTCTTGTGCTCCCTCTGGGCGAGGGGCCACGAGGACTGGAGGCCAGAGGAGGGTGGGGCCCGGGGGCGCTGGCCTTGAGTCCTGCTGGTTGGCCCCGAGGCCTCTCTAGCTCTGCTCCATCACCAGGAGCGGGTCTGGACGGCCGGGATGAGGGCGAGGACGGGCAGGGAAGGGAGGCCCCTGGCTCTTTGCGGCCCCCTCAGGGTTGATCTCCCCCTCTGTGACCCCCCACTCCCACTCAGCCCAGAGCTCCCCTGGGGACAGGGCCCTGGCCTGCCCCGGAGGACACAGAGGACCAGGGCTGGGCCCTCACCTGAGACCAGGAGCTCCAGGGGGTCACTGGGGAGCGACAGCAGGTGTGGGGCGGCGCTCTGTGAGCTGTAGCACCTGTAGGTCCCACTGTGGGCCGAGGTCACAGCTCTCAGGGTGAAGTTGGCCTGGACGGGCGGAGCCGTGTCCTGCAGACGCAGGTGCTGGGGAGGAGCGGGCGACCCCTCCTTGGACAGATGGAAGGTGTCTGAGCGGACCTCAGAGCGACACTGCAGGGTCACGTTCTCTCCCTGGGGCACTGAGGCCCCCGGGCGGGCGGAGAGGGAGGGTTTCCTGTGCATTCCTGGGGGAGGACGGGGGTGATGAGCAGAGAGCCCCTCCCCACACCCCGGACCCTGAGCTGGGGGGCCTCCCTGGGAGCCCTCCCAGCTCCTCTCAGCCCGTCTGTGTGGGTCTCCTTAGTCTCCGTGCCTCTCACTCCTGTTTTCCCGTCCCCCCCCAGGCCCCTGCCCCACCTCGGTCTCTGCTCCAGGACCCTCTCCCGGGACCCATCACCACCAGGGCCGACCCTGGTCCAGCGCCCTGAGCAGACAGTCGGGACCTGGGCCGGGACAGGCGATCCTCACCCGCGATCAGGATGTCCAGGGGGGCGCTGGGGGCCGACCACGCGTGGGAGAGGTTCTGCCCGCTGTAGCATCTGTACCGGCCCCCGTGGGCGCGGCTCACGCGGCCCAGGGGGAAGTCGGGGTTCTGCTGCCCTTCTAGGCGGCGGGGCGGGCTGAGCCGCTCGTCCTTGGTCAGCGCGAAGCTGCCAAAGCCGGCCTCTGAGCCACACCGGAGGGTCAGGTTGTCTCCGGGGAGCACGAGCGAGCCGGGCTGGGCGGAGAGGGAGGGCGCCCTGGACAGGCCTGCAGATGGGGCGGAGGCTCGTGGCTGCACGCCCGCACTGCGCCCGGGGCTGCGGAGACAGCTCTCCCTGCTCCCTCCCGAGGCTCCCGCCCGCGTCCTGCCCCAGGAACCCAGTGTCGCTGCCCCTGTCTCCCCCAGGGCTCATGGGCACAAGGCTTAGGTCAGGGGTCTGTCGAGGAAATAGAGGGGCCTGGGGCCTCACCTGTGACCTGGAGATGCAGAGGGTCACTGGGTTGTGACCACAGATAGGGCACATCGCTGGGAGCATCATAGCACCTGTAGGTCCCCCCGTGGGAGCTGGTCACGGGGCCCACAGGGAACACAGCCTCTCCCCGCCCTTGGTTCCCATAGTTCCTCGACGTCTGGTATCGGGGCAGGTCAGCACCTCCCTCCTTCAGCAGGTGCAGCGTGCCCGCTGCATACTGTGAACTGCACGTGAGGGACACGCTGCCTCCTGCAGCCACCACAGGGCTGGGCTGGGCGGACAGGGAGGGCGCCTTGTACACTCCTGGGGGCGAGGGGCTGTGTTAAAGGGGGACCTCCACTCCAGTGACCCCAGGTGTGGGCTGGGAGGGCAGGGGCCCCCTGAGCCCACACTCTGCTCCTCTGCCTGTGGGGAGGCTCCCACCCCCCGCCCCTCCCTCTTACCTGTCACCACCAGGGGCAGGAGGTCACTCCGCTCTGACAAGCGGTTCCTGCTGCGATATGCACACTGATACTGCCCGGCATCACGTGAGCTCGTGTATTCAAAGTGGAACCCGGCCTTGTTCCTGGAGCCCTGAGGGGCCTGAGCCTCCCAGTATACAGAGCCCCTCTCTTTATACAGATGGTAGACATCTGCCATCAGAGACCCCTGACACCAGATGGTCACCGGGCTCCCCTGGGCGACCATGGCGCCTGGGTCAGCCCGGATGGAGGGTTTGGGGAGGACCTCTGGAAAGGAATCAGACCTGCGGAGTCAGGGCGCCTTCTTCCCCAGGCTCCCCAGCTGTCACCCGCCCCTCCCAGACGGGCCACCAGCGGCCCCGGCCCGCTGTGGTCCCCAGTGACCAGGGGTGGTGGGTGGAAGCAGGAGGTCTGGGGGCTCACCTGGTTGTCCCTGGTCCTCCAGGCCCCGGCACAGCCCTGGAAGAGAGTTCCCTGTGAGCACCCGGCGTCCACCTGGATGTTCCAGGTCTGCTCTGCGTCCTGAGGGCTGGGGTCAGATCCGGGCTGAGGACATTCCCCTCTCCCCCAAGAAAGTCTGTCCCCACCAAGCCTTCTGCATCCTGGGGCTCTCAGGGACCAGATGTGGGAGGAGGGGGTCCCCACCCCCTCCCTTCCCCGAAGCTCACTGAGGCAGAGAAGGGTGGTGAAGGTCAGGGTCATGGCGCTGCCTCTCATGGTCCCCAGCAGAGCAGGTGACTTACAGAGAGCTCAGAGCCCGCAGGCCGGACAGACGCACCGGACATAAATGTCCAGGCTCGGTGGCGCATGTCACCCAGAAAGAGGAAGAGCCCCACCCCGCTCACTCTGCTTGCCCTGCCCCATGGAGCCCAGCAGAAGGCAGGCTCAGGAGCCTTCCAGAGCACGTGGGAGTCTCACCAGACCCCACCCCAAAACCCAGAGAGTAACATGGTCTCCAGACAGGTGGCCGAGACGCAGGGCGGGGCCTAGCTCAACATTGGTTCCATTTTTTTTTTTTTTTTGGAAAGGTTTTATTGTTTCCATTTGGTCCAAGGCTTGGAAGATGGCTCCATAGTGGTTAACAAGCTGCCTCTTGGTTGCAGAGAGAAGCTTCCCGGCAGATGCCCTGACCCCAGAGAGGCTCCTCAAAGGCAGCTAGGCTCCAGAGGCTCCTAACGGTACTTTGGAGGCTGAAGCTTTGCAGGAGAAAGCTGTCCAGCCCCACCCAGGACCAGCCGGCCTGCAGAGGCTGGTCAGGTGGGCGTCCATCATCGTGATGAGTTTCACCTGCTTGCCCAGGATGTGGCTGCAGAAGTCACAGAGGTGGAATCGGGCGGCAAGGACCCGGGGCCTGCGGATCCACGAAGGCCTGGCTCGGGTTCTTCTCCGCGAGCAGGACGGCCCCACGGCGTCCGGGGTCTGACTCCCTCGTCCTGTCCTGGACGGACGTCCTGGAAGAGCACGCAGCCGCAGTGCTGGCTCTGCAAGTCCCATGGAGCTCTGCGCCCCTCCCACCCCCCATTTCTCGCCCATCCGCGGGGAGATGGCCCACCCTCCAGAGCCGCCTGGTCCTAGTGGTCGGAGAAGCCCAGAGAGAGGTCGGGCCGGTAGGCCGGAAACAGCATGTGGACCGGGCGGCCGGGGCGCCTCCGCCTGCGGGAATAAGTCTCAGGAATCTGGGAGCTCACGGGTGGCCGACGACAAGGAGTCGAGCTCTGCAAATGGCGTTGGCTGGTCCCGGTGGCCGAGGACAGCTGAGTGGTTGGTTCCAAGGTTGCCACTGGAAAAATGGTCGGAGGGTGGGCGGAGGCTGGAGGAAGGGGCGTCCCTGGGCCTGTTCTGTCCGAGCAGCGTGGAAGGAGACACATTTGCGGTGCTGCCCAGAGCTCTGCTTTTGGTTCCAAATTCTTATTCTGCTTTTCACGGAAACGGTGTGACCTTGAGTCGCTTCCCTTTTCTGAGACTCTGAAAATGCAGAGTTCCTCCCTCCCTTCCTGTCTTCCTTCCTCCCACCATCCAGGCAGTCAGCCAGTGTTTGTTGAGCAGTTACTATATCCAGACTTGAGACTCTTTGGTCAAAGTGCCCAGTCCCTTCCCTGGACTCAGGGGCTTCTGATGATGATAACCGACAGTGTGCACGTTTAGACGGTGAATACGTTGGCTCTGGTTTTGGTTGGTTGTAGAGAAGGGGAACCACAGGGCAGCGAGACCCAATAACTGGTGGAGGTCCAGGAAGCTCGTGACGGTGCGTGGGGGCTTCCTGGAGAAGGAGAGACCCAGACTGCTAGCGGGAGCACACGAGTGGCAAGGGGCCGGGAAGGGGGAGTGGGTTTTTCTAAGAACTGGAGTCACCAGATGCTGCGCCCTGGTCACACAGGGTCTCATGCTCCCTGCCAGTGAGCCAGGATTATATCCCTGAGGCAGCAGACTCATTTTCAGGAAAGGAAGGTGTGAACACACAGCTGTTACTGAGATGGTCACCATCCTGCAGTGACTGGACTCTGGGAGGATGGTGATGGCAATAAACAGTGATACAGCGCCAGTGTCAAGTCGGCCAGTAGGTGATGAGTGGATCAGTATCTAAGAGGTTTATGAGGTTTTCTCACGTAAGCCATCCACAAATCCTACAACAAAACATATGCACAGTTAAATGGGATGTGTCAGGAAGACTTGCGTGTCATTATCATGGTTTAGAAGAAGTCTTGTCAGAAATCAGCTGGTCATGTGAATAGGTTTATATGTTGGCATTCCAAGCATCAGTGCGTCTCTTCTCAAGCCAGCACCACTCTGTTTTGATCACCGGAACTTTGCAGTAAGTGTTGAAATCAGAAAGTGGGCGGTTTCCAACTTTGATCCTGTTTTTCCAGGCTGCTTAGCTACTGTGGGTCTTTCTCAATGACCGTGAGTTCAGAGAAATGACTTTCTCCTTTCTGCACAAATAGCCTTTGGGATTCAGACAGGGATTGAATTAATTCTGCAGGATGCCTGGAGAGTATTGTCCTCTTTACAATGTTAATCTTCCACCCTACCGTCCTGGAGTGTCTTCCCATCAATCCAGCTCTTTTCACATGTTCCTCATCAGATGAAAAAGAACTACAGTGTACAATTATTGCACCTCCTTCCATAAAGTCATTCCTATGTATATTTCTCTTTTGGAGGCTGTTAATTTTCACCTAAATGAGTATGTTGAAATCGGCAGCCTCACTTCCTGGGGATGTGACTTTTGGGAAGTGGGGTCTTTGCGGCGTCATCACATTAAGATCGTACTGCAGCACGTGGGTCCTCATGTGATATTTTAGGTGCTCCAGTTGGATGAATTGAAGAGGTGCATGGAGAGGCATGCCGGAGACAACAAAGAGGCACAAGTGGCTGCAGCTGTGTGGAGTGGTGGAGAATGAGGAGAGGGTCCGCCCCAAACCAGGGGGCGCCTTGGCCAACAGACCCTGGAAAGAGGCAGTCAGGATTGGCCCCTAGAACCGCCAAAGGGACACCCTCAGGGTGGGCTTCTCCAGAATTGTGATCGAATAGTCAACGCCTGTTGTCCTAATCCTCCCTGATTGTGGAAATGTCCTCCCGGCCCTCGGGCTCTAGCGCAAGGTGGACGAGCATTGTGCTGGCCAGACAGGGCTCTGGGGTCTGCAGACTGGGCTCGTTCCGGGACCCGCCCCGCTCTGCAGCTCTGAGCCCGCGGCCTGTACTCCAAACCTCAGCTGCCTCAAGTGAACACATGGATGACAGTAGTCATGTCTTCCTGAAGCTTACGAGCAGGAGCAGATTGCCCCCCACCTTGAGCACCCCACACAACTGCAGGTCCCTTTGGCGTCTGGAGATCACACACTGCTGTGGGATATTTCCCCGGGGATCCTGGGAGACAGCAACACGACCCGGTCCTGGTCCCTACATTACTTCTAGGGGACACAGTTTGATGGGATCTGTGTGTGTACGGGGGGACACAGGCCCCCGTCCAGCCCGAGGACAGAAGCAGAGAGCGGGGGAATGGGCTCAGAGGCCCTGCCCTGTCCACGCCACCTCCGGCGACACTTTCTGTTGGGGCGCTGGCAGTGCCCATGCTGCAGGGACCGGGGCAGCTGTCCTGTCTGGGAGGCACGGGGTGCCTGGGCTGCTGGAGCTCAGAACGCCCCTCCTTCCCAGGCCTGAGTCGTCACCTGTTCTGAGGCACTGCATGTCGTCTGAGGCCCCATTTCCCCTGGGCAGCGGCTCATCGTCCGGCTGAACTCAGGGATGCCGATCGCGCAGCTGAGGTCATGGTGTGTGCAAAATACACTGAGAGTGTGTGGAGGGTTTGCTGTCACTGATGGATGGCCACTTTGCTGTGAATCGGCCCCTACGCAGGGGTTGGCTTCCCCAGCCTGCTTCAGCCCCTCCTCACTCGGGTGGGAAGCTAGGGAGGGTGATGGAGCAACGGGACGGCTCACCAGTCAGGAGCCGCAGACAGGAGTCAGTACCCGAGGGTCAGGAGGGACAGGCCCACATTCCAGCAGCCTGACCTTCCCTCTGAGAGCGACCCGCCCCCTCCCCAGTGTGTGAGGACCAGGGAATCACGTGGGGGCTTTCCTTCCTCTAGTCCTAAGATTCGGCAAAGTTCTGCCTCCCCAGGTAATGCGTTTTGTCTCCTTTTGCCCGCATGAAGTTGCTTCAGTCGTGTCTGGCTCTTTGCGACCCTATGGACCATAAACTGCCAGACCCCGCTGTCCATGGGATTTCCCAGACAAGAGTACTGGAGTGGTTGCCACGGCCTGATCCACCTCCTTTTGAATTTTATGCAATGGAGATCCTCGTGCACACACTTAGAGCTTTTCTTCACGCATTAACTAACATGCCTGAAGGTTGGTCTGTATTACTGTGGTAGTTAAACTTTTCTCTCATATAGAAGTCCATTGCAGGGCTTCCCTGGCAGTCCAGTGGTTAAGAATCCACCTTCCAATGCAGGCAACATGGATTCCCTCCCTGGTCAGGGAACTAAGATCCCACATGCAGAGGGGCAATTTCACCGCACCGCCGTGTGCGGTGACTACTGAAGCGCGTGCTCCCTGGAGCCTGCCCACAACCAGGGTCTGCAATGAAAGATCCCACATGAGGCCACGAGATCTAACCTGCTCAAGCTGGGACCTGACACAGCCACATAGATCAGTAAAATATTTTTAAAAATGAAATTTTAAAGCCCGTTGCAAGTATGCACCAAAGCGTTCGTGTGTGTGAGGTTTTCTGTGGTCTGATCTGAGCGACCCTCTGTGCTTACTCTCCTGCTTGTGTGCTGGTGGTTACACACAGTTCTCCCCTCAGTTACATAACTCTGGGTGGGGCTGTGTGTTTCTCCCTTTTACCTGATGGTCGTTACTTCCTGCCCAAATGACTGAGGCGATTTGCACTCCAAGCTGTGAGGTATTGGAGTCAAAGTGCTCCGTGTTTTCTCCCACAATTGGTACTTGCACTGTTTTCTCTTTCTCGTCTGAATGGACTAAGGTTTTGGCATCTGATTTTGTGGAAAGTGGGGCTTGAAACTGAGATGGGAATGATCTAACTGTGACATGTAATGCAAAGGACACATCTGTGCATGTGGGGCTGTCGGTAGGGGCTGGGGGGACCAGACTCCCTCCTGTGGGAAAGTCAGCCTGCTCCTTCCTTCCCACCCGGGCTTCAGCGCATTCACCCCGGCTCCTTGAGGTTGGCCGCGGAGAGCGTTCGCAGCAAAGCAGACACAGTTCACACACCCGGGCGCCTTATGAAATGTTGTATTCCTTAGCCGTTTACCAGCACAGCACCCGGCTGTCACTTCAAACGTCAGGGTGTCCCCTCGCAGCGATGGGGTCTGCAGAAACCACACCGGTGTCCTCTGATGAGGAGAGCAGGGTGTGAGGGCTCCAGGGGGTTCAGGGAAGAGTTCTGGATCCATCTGTTCCAGACGGGGCCCCACTTCCACCCATTTATTCAGTTACTTAAACGACGTTCTGTTTCTGAGAAGGGATGGAGGTCATTGCGCACACCAGAGACGGCGGGCATGAACAATGAGGCTCACATCGTCCAGGAGAGCGGACAGAGCCTGCGGGCCTGCAGGGTGAGGACCCCTGCCACTGGGATGCACCTCGGGCTGGGGGTGGGAGGAGCCGGGAGCCTGGGCGTCCTCCCTGGGAGCAGAGGCCGAGCCCCCAGCCACCGCAAGACGCCCGGGCCTCCTCCCGCCCCCGCAGCACGTCTCTCACCCAGGGTCATAGGCTCTTTCCGAAGCCCCCGGGCCGGATGCTCGCGTCGGGGGCTGGGGCGCTCCGGACGGTGCCGGGGGCCTCCCGTGCTCAGCTCCGGGCCGCGTCTCGGGCTCCTCCGCGGTTGTGCCGAGCCTGGCAGAGCAGGACCCCGAGGAGCAGCAGGACCGAGGCCGTGAGGCCCATCCGGATGAGATTCTGCACCGCGTAGTCTGGGGTTAGGGCGCACAGGTCAGCGCCAGCACAAGCACCTGCCTCTCGGGAGAGGACGCTGCCCCGAGCCCAGCCCCTGACGGGGACGCTGTCCTGGTCCTCACTCTGGGTCTGACCGCGGTGATGGGGGAGGGTGTCGGGGGCCCGAGGGTCCTGAAGGGAGGCTGTGGGTGGGCCGTGTCCTCCTCGGGGAGCCTCCCGGGGGCAGGATGGGGTGGGGGCGGGCCTGCTCCTCCCCAGACTGACCCCCATCCCGCAGCCTCAGGCCCCTCCAGCCTGTGGCTCCTGCGCCATCTCTGCTCGGCTCCCCGCTGGCCCTTGATGATGTGAGGGGCCTTGTCCACCCAGAGAATCTCAAAGCACATTGGGGTGGGCTGTCTCCCCCGAGCACTGAGCCCTGTGACTCCCCAGTTGTTGAATTGGGGCCCGAGGGTGGGGGCTGGGCCCATGGGTCCTGGGAATGAGCCCAAGAAGGGGTGGGCCGGGCTGACCCGGGGACCCCACCTCACTCCCCTCTGCCCTGCACAGGCCTGTGGCCTCCCCAAGACCCTCTGGGACCCCAGTGAGTGAGGACAGGGCAGGGGCGGGCTTCCAGGCCCCTCCCTCAGGGGGCCCCTCCATCAGCGCCCCCTCCTCCACGACCTCCGGGGCCTCCCAGGGCATAGAGCCCCGAGCTGCTGAGTCAGATGGACAGACGGGCCTCACCTGAGACCTGGAGTTCCAGGGGTTCGCTGGGCCGTGACAGCAGGTGGGGCTCTGTGCTGAGTGTGCGGTAGCACCTGTAGGTGCCCCCGTGGGCCGAGCTCACAGGACTCAAGGAGAACTCGGCCTGGAACCGCCCGCCTTGATCCTGGGCGCGCAGACGCAGGGGGCGATGAGCTGCCCCCTCCTGGGACAGAAGGAAAGTGTCCGTCCAGTCTCCTGACTGACACAGCAGGGTCACGTTCTCCCCCGGGGCCACCGAGGGGCCCGGCCGTGCCGAGAGGGAGGGTCTGTCTCTGAGCCATCCTGCAGAGAGGAAGGGGGCACAGGCTGGCCCTGGTTCTGAGCAGGACTCCGCGGTCTCTCTGGACCCTCAGCGCCGTCTGTTTCTCCAGTCTCCCGTCCCCCACGCCGTCTCTCTGTCCCCTCCCTGGGACCCCTCCCCCTGGTCCCAGCATCACCCCTGGGGCTCCCCGGTGGGGCCTGTGCAGAGTCTGGCCCCCGACTGACCCGCTGGCCCCTCACCTGCGACCAGGAGCTCCAGGGGGTCACTGGGGGCCGACCATTCGGAGGAGAGGCCGTGTCCACCGTAGCATCTATACCGGCCCCCATGGACGGTGCCCACTGGGCCCAGGGGGAAGTCGGCCTGAGAGAGACCCCCCTGGGCCCTCCAGGCAGGGCGCTGGGGGAGGTCCCGGCCCCCCTCCTTGGACAGAGCGAATCTGGCATAGCCCATGTCACAGCGACACTGAAGGGTCAGGTTCTGTCCAGAGGTGACGACAGGGCCCTGTGGGATCAGGAGGGACGGCTTCCCAGACAGCCCTGGGGAGAGACAGGCGCCGGGTCATTGGGACCACGTCCCCCGTGGACGCCCTTCCCGGCCCAGCCCCAGGCCTCGCCGTCTCTGTCTGTGTGTCTGTCCTGTGAGCACCACACCCCTCTTCCCCCTCACAGGGGCTCCCCTGGGAGCACAAACCCGACTATGTCTTGTCTGCACAAATGTGGGGTCAGGTCGGGACTTCCTCACCTGAGACCAGGAGCTCCAGGGGGTCGCTGGGGGCCGACCACACCCAGGGGGTGTCCCTGTTAAAGCCGTAGCATCTGAACATCCACTTGTGTCCGGGGCTCACGGGGCCCACGGGGAACAGGGCCTGGGTCTGCCCATCGGGGCTCCACTGTCCATCCAGGGTCCGAGAGGACTTGTTTTCTCCTTCCTTGGTCAGAAGGAACCTGTTAAATCCCTGACGGGAGCCACACTGCAGGATCACGTTCCCTCCCAAGGTCACCACAGGGCTCGGCAGGGCTGAGAGGCTGGGTTTGCCATGGGATCCTAGGAGAGAAGGAGGCAGCTGGATCCGTGGGGCTCCCCCCTTGCCCCCCAGGGCTGGGCTGTGAGAGGGACACCCCCTGAGAGCAGACCCCCTCCCGAGGGCAGAGCCTGAGGCCCCCGAGAGTCTCTCACCTGTCACCACCAGCTCCAGGCGGTCACTGAGCTCTGACCAGCAATTTCCCCTGAAATAGTAACACCAATAGCGCCCTGCATGCTGCTCAGTCATCTGTGGGATGGAGAACTTGGCCTTGTCCCCGGGCTCCAGGGGTTTCTGTCTGTCCCAGGGGACTGAGCTTCCCTCTTTATCCAGATGAAACTCCTGGGCCCCTAGGGGCCCCTGACACCAGATGGTCACGGGGCTCCCCGAGGGGACCACAGAGCCCGGCTCAGCCCAGATGGTGGGTTTGGGGGGAGCCCCTGGAAGGAAATCAGAGTGGGCTCACCAGGTGCCCCCCGTCCCCAGGCCCCGGCTCTCAGCCCAGGCCTCCCAGACTCCCCCTCCATGAGCCCCGAGCTACTGTCCCCCTCCCTGTGGCCTGGGGGTGACCCTTGTCCCCACGAGAGGAGGGAGCTGGGCCCTGGGGACAGACTCACCAGCCTGCACCTGGGTCCTCAGGCCCACACTCAGCCCTGGAAGAGAGAGCCCTGTGAGAGGTCTGCCCTCAGCTCTGAGCAGCGCCTCTCGTCCCCGGGAGCCTCCTGGGCCCTGGGGTCCCCTGATGGAGCAGGCTGGCTGGGTGGGGGGTCCCTCCAGTCCAGGGCTCCCCCTGCCCCTCGTCATCTCACCGAGGCAGAGCAGGGCGGGGAGGGTGGGGCCATGGCGTCTCCTCCCTATGGTCCAGGCCGTGACGATGGAGGACATGTGGGTGCCCTCCAGACAGACAGAGCACAGGGTGTGTCCTCTCCGGGGCTGGTGCTTCCTGTCACATGGTCATCAGGTCAGCATCCCCGCCGGAAGGGGACTGACCCTCCCTGGAGCCGGGCCCTGGTTTCTGCAGGCTGAGGCTGGAGCAGGCAGTGGGTTCGACAGACATTTCTGACCACTTCTGGGGCCTCCCGTGACTCTAAGCTGTGCGAAGTCTTCCTAGACTGATGGCCTTTCTCCCCCCAAGCATCTGCACCTATTTCTCGGTGGTGGCCATGTGCCTGGCTTAGAGATACATCACTGGACACGACAGATTCAGACCCTGAGCTTGCAGAGTTCAGACTGGCAAACGAACAAGCAAACAGCTTCGGCCACCAAAACCCCCTCAGAAACTCGTGTGTTTGCTTCCTGTGGCTGAAGAGCAGCTGCTGGAAGTCACCACGTTAAACCGTTAAACTGAGACAGTTCCATTCTGGAGGTCAGAAGTCCAAACTAGAAACCCGGAATTCAGACCGCATTGTCGTCAGGCTGCGTTCGTCCCACTCGATCGCTCTGCAGGAAATCTCTCCCCTCACCTTCTCAAGCTTCCACAAACGACCGTCTCCGTGGCCTCACCCCTCCCATCTTCAAAGCTGGCAGTCACAGCTCTCCATGTGCTCTGGCCCCGTCTTCCCTGCCTCCTTGTTTCACCCGTAAGGACCTTGCTGGTGACAGGGGACCCCCCGTTCCCTGGATAACCCAGGACTGTCTCCCCATCTCCACCACTGGGGAGGTGTATTAGGGGATCTGAAAGGGAAATTCAAGGCTCATCCTCAAATAACTAAATGATGATAATAAAACTATGACTCACGGTCTCTCCCCATGGAGTGGGGCAGAGCAGGGTGACGAGTGCTGAAATCACAGTGACTCTCCTGCCCGCCCCAGACTGAGCAGAGGGACGAGACGACAGAGCGTGGGAGGCTGCGCTGACCACGAGGATGCCGTGGGCAGGTGCCCTCACCCCTAGCATGCGTTTCAACGCTGAAATTTTCACCGGAAGCAGAGCAGCTCTTCCCCTACATGTCAGTCTCCGAGGCCATCGCACATAGGTGTAACAATCCTTTTTGTTCAGAAAACAATTTCCGCTCGTCATAAACCCGGACGTGTGCTCCAGGCATGGTCCAAATATGCCATCAGGTGACGAGACCCTGATGCCGGGCTTAGGGATGGACGGTCAGAAGACCTGGCGAAGGTCTGAGCCCATCCTGGGCTTGCATGGCTCATGTTTGTCTTGAGTCTCTGGCTCGGGCCGCCTGTGTGGACGCAGTGAGGTTTCCATCAGTCTCCCGACCAGAGACCCGGGGTCCTCCCCTCCCAGGGGTGCTGGGGAAGGGAAGCCGGCTGAGAAAGGAGGACCCAGAGTGCTCTGGTCAGATGCAGGCCGTGCACTGCGGGTGGACTAGCAGCCAGGCCGCGCTGGCCTTGTTTCTCCTTGTTGGTGATTGCGGGTGAACTCGGCGTGCCCCGGGTTTCCCCAGCGTGAAGCTGTTGTTTGCCCTTGGTGACCAGTCCCTGGTGTGTGGGGAGACATTGTTTCTCTGAGGGTTTGAACATACTGCGGTCCTCGTTAAACATTCACTTAATAACCTTAGCAGCTGCTGACCTTGTGCTGTAGCCACAGGTTGTCTTCTCCCGGAAGCATCTGTTTGCATGTAAACCACACTGTTTATAATACCCCCTGCTCTGAAATGCCTGCGGAATATGGCTGATTCTTTTGTTTCTTTCCCCAGAGTACAGAGATGTACCTAGGCTTTCTTACTGCCTCGTGACTCAGAGGCTCTATGGTATATGTGCTATCTTTAAAAATTTTATAATGTGCACTGTTTTTAAAGTCTGTGTTGAATTTGTTGCAATATTGTTTCTTTTTCTGTTTTGGCTTTTTGGCTGGGAGGCATATGGGATCTTAGCTCATATGGGATCCTCAAGCAAGGATGGAACCCCCAGCACCGGAAGGTGAAGTCCAACCACTCGACCGGCAGAGAAGTCCCTGAGTGCTCTGTTTTACCTTCTGGTTGCGCTCATCCCCTCTGCCCGCATACTGCTTCTCTTTGGGTGTTTCCTAGTTGTTATTTTGCCACGTAAGGTTTAGTATGAATTTGTCTAGCTTTTGAGAAAATGCTGGTTGGTGCACTTTGAGGGCTGGGGCTCATTTATAAATTAGCTGAAGAAGAACTGACGTATCTGTAAGGTCCAAGGATGCTGTCCAATAATCGGATGTCGCTCTTCATTTCTTCAAATCTGACTTTTGTGCCACTCAGGAATGTCTGAGACATACACACTTACGTGGGGTGAGTTTTGCACGTTTTGTGTTACCTTTATCCCTCGGAATTTTCCTCTGCTGTTGTTTTTGTTGTTCCTACTCAGGGGAAGCTGGGATTTCTTTGTGGATCTGAGAGTGGTTGGTTCATAGAAATTAGTTTTATACTGACTACAAGTCTGACTTTTTGATGACTGAGTGACTCTCACCGCGGTGTGTCTAGGACTCTGCAGTCGGCTTCCTTCTGCTCCCCGTGCTCCCCGCACCACTCGGCCCCCCTCCCCCCTCCCCTCTCCCCCCTCTTCCCCCTCCCCTGGTGGCCCAGCTCCCCGGGGTCTACACCTGCAAGTTCTCCCTGGCGTCCACGGTCTTGCAAGAACTGTCTCATCCCGCCTCTCCCACTGTGTTCGCCCCTCAGTGTCCCCGCCAGAGAAGAACACATACAATTCACGTGAGGACAGGGCCTGCACTGCCAAAAGTCCAGTGAAAACGAGCAAACAAAAATTGGCGATGGTCCTTTCTGAGTCTTCTAGTATTTCACCTTTGGGGGAGGGGGCAGGGAAGGGACAACTGGCCAGATTCCCTGGCACCTAGAGAATAATGAAAATTCTGTGTAAATGCAAGAATTGTGAAGATATGTCTAATTTGGGGAGCCTGTAACACTACAAAATAAGAATCTAAAAGTGTAAAACTGTCATGAAAACAGCAGGAATAAGCTCTTTCTCTGTGGCCAGGATTTGGGACGTTTCCTTAAGGGCTGATGGAACCAGATGACGCCCTGGACAGGTGGCCTTTGGTTACCGCCCGTCTTCCCATTGGCCTTCCGGAACGTTCTCGCAGGTTGCTCCCTCCACCCAGCAGGCCGGCTCCCCTCCAGGCCCCCTCATCTGGGGGCAGGGGCAGGGGCCCAGGCCGCTCCCAGCACCCTGCTCTCTCTCTCCCTCCCCAGGCAGCGGCCTGACATCTGGGGTGTGCTCTGAGGCTAGAGAGGTACGCCTGGCCTGAAGTGCCCTGGAGTTGTGGTCTGATCTGGGAACTGAGTAACCACTGCTCTACTCTGTTCTCCTTAGAGGGTGAGAAGACCATCTGACTTCAGAACTGAAACGCTGCCTGGGAGGGAAAAGAGGAAGCAGGGATTGACAGAGACATTGTCTTCTGTTCCAGGAGGCAAAGACGCAGAGGCTTTCAGAAGGGGTGAAGTCAAGTTCACAGACTGGATTCAATCCGTTGAACAGAGGTTTTCAAGCATGTGTTTTCAGCCTCCGTTTCACATCCCTGTGGTGACCTGCTCTTTCATTTTTGATGTGGTTGACGGCCCTGTAGGTGTCAGAACCACTTTCAGCCCCGACCTTGAAGAATGTACCATCCCTGGGGCAATTCCCAGCAGTGGGAAGAGGAGCCCATGAATACACTCCCAAGTGTCGCTGCCTCCGGAGGGAAGACCCTGCAGGGCGTCCTCTACACCCTCCGAGGTCCTGGTGGAGTCCCAAGCCATCACCGCCTGCACGGACCTCAGGAGTGCTTCTCTGCCAGGAATTCCTTTCCTTCACACTCTCCCTGCCCCATTCCCGCCTTCTTGCTTCTCAGACAAACTACCTACACTTCCATCCTTGTCTTAGGCCGTGCTTCCAGGGTAACTCACAGTAGTTCGGGGACTGGAAAATGCCATGCGGTGTTTCGGGTTTGTTTTTTCCAATGACATAATCTCTTCTCTGACTGCTCGAGACCACTCTCCTTAACCACTCCATGACTGCTTGGACTTGCCCATTTGTTCATCCATTCACCATTCAGGAATCTTATCCCTGCTCACTAAAGAAATATTTAAGCATGTCAACCCGTGACCATCCCAGGAAGTGAAGAGATGAAATTGAGCAAAACGCATGTATTCTCTGACCTCAAGGAAGGTCTGGTGTCATAGAAAAACTAAATGAACAAAACAATTACACAGATAAGTGTTTCTAGAGAGATCTGTCATAACCAGGCTCAACCTAAGTCTGGATGAAGCAGGCATAGTATTAACTCATCATAGATAGAAACATGATATGTGGATAAACATGTTAATTGATTGATAAGTAGCTAGATGATACATAGATACTTAGAAATACAGATAGTTACATAGATCGATACAAAGACACATAGGTAAATAGCTACACAGATACATACATATGTATGTAGGTAAATACATAGATACATGGTTACATAGATACGTAGACAATTGTGTAAACAACCAGACCACAATGTATCATATCAGTGGAGAAACTTCCCTGCACCGCTTTGGTCCTAACAGGCTGACAATACTCAAAGCGCTCATTTCCTCGCTCATACACTTAGATTTCCCAGCACAAAAGGAGAAAGAAAACTCTCCTGTCAACGTCACATTGTTCCATCAGGAGGCACAGAGACAAGCTCTCGGTCCAGCCTCCCTCACGCCCTCCACGGTAGGCTGCACACCTCAACTGTGAAGCTTGGTCTCTGCCAGCCCCCCACCCCACCCCACCCCCATATCCTGTGACCCTGAGCTGCGCTCTCCACACTCACCCCTGCCTCCCAGCTGGCTCAGATCGGTTCTGAACCGAAAGCCTTCCGTCTTCAGGCATGGGTGCTCTAAGGAAACAATTATGTTTGTCTAACATGGGCGGGCGGGGCTTCTTGGACCGGTGGGTGTGCAGAGAGCCAGAGGGGTCTGGGACGGTGGCTGGAT